CCGAGCGGAAACGACCAAGGAGGCCAGGAGGCCGCCACCGCGCCGTGCGCGCGGCTGCGGCCCCGCACGGTGCGCGTGCGGGGTCGCCAGCGCTTGGCGGTGCCGGCCCCTTACCCCCACTGCTGGTGGTCACGGGGACAGGACCCGGGCAGAGCAAGAGGCACCGCGACGGCGACGACGCCGACGACGGCGACAACGGCAACGACGGAGAAGAGGCGCGCCTTCTTACCAGGACGGACGGTGGCAAGGATCAGGAGCAGGAAGGAGGGGAGAGAGCGACGAAGAGGACGGGGGCGGGGCAGGGCGAGAGAGGGCGAGGGCACAGCCGCGGGCCCGGGCGAGGGCCCGGCAGGGGAGGCGCACGTGGGCCCCGTCCCGGGCACGACGGGCTCAGACGCCGCATGGGCTCGTGCAGGGAGCCCCGGAGGAGGTGCGCTGCTCGGAGGGCAACCCCGGAGGGGAGAGACTCGTGCGGGCAGGCCTGGGCCACCCGGCTCCGCGCCGCGCGAGGAGGGCAGGGCGCACGCTCCTCTTCGCGCCCTCGCGCCGGCCCCTGGAGCACAGCGACCCCCCGACCCAGATCACGAAGCGCGCTCGTCTTCTCCAGAGGAAAAAGAACTATGCACATACCCCGATTCTGGCCAGGCCCATCCTGAGCCCAGGATCGGTGCATGCGCCCTCCTACCCTGGCCAGGATGGCATATGCACCGATGCTGGGTCAAGGATGGGCCTTGCCAGGATCGGTGCATGTGCATAGTTCGCTTCGCCCGGTTCCCGCGCGTCCGACGCCCGCTGGCGAAGAACGACTCTCCGACACGGACCAGCAGGCGCAAAACTACGAAACTGGGCACCAAAGTCCCGTCTCCTTCCCTGGGGCCAATACTCCATGCCAGCTAACTGCGTGACGGTCCCTGGGCCTCAAAACGGGCCTCGGGATGCCGGCTTCGAGAGAAAACGCCAGCACAGGAAATGACACGACGCCAGCTGTTTGGGACACGCAGAAGGCACTCCTACACCGCCACCATGTCTGGACAGGACCATCCTGGGCCCTGACATGGCCTGTGCTCCATACGCAAATACGCCATCCTGGCCGATGTCGAGAGAGCCTGCACACCATCGTAGGGCCTAAGACGGCCCTGGCCATGAGTGGTGATCGTGCACAGATGCGCTCTGGGGAGCGAGGACACTTTTTTGATTCGCGGGTCGAGAGCGCAACTCTTCCGGTCGAAGCTAAGCGGGCGGCCGCGAAGCTTGAATTAACCAGAGATGTAGGAGGAAAAGGGGGGCGCAGCCTCAGAACGAGACCGGGAGAAGGCAAAGCCTCGGGGTCAGGCGGCAAGGGAGCGAGGACACACGGTCGGGAACCCTCTGCGTGGCGTGTCGCGGCAGCGGCCACGGCGACAAGCTATGCCCTGCGAGCTGGCAGCGTGCCGCCCCGCTCCGCGAGGCGGGAAGCTGGGAAGAGCTTCGGGCGGTGACGCGCTGGGGAAGCTGGGAAGCTGAGTGACGCTGGGGACTGTGAAGCTGGGAAGAGCTTCGGGAAGCTGGGAAGCTGCGTGACGCTTGGGGACTGTGAAAGGGTTGCCGTGTCGCGCCGAGGCGTGGTGGGCCAAAACCAGCGGCGCGACGCGCTGAACCACAAGTAGAAGTTCCTGACCGTAGCGTTGCCCCTGAGCCCAGCCTGCCTCCTGGCGCCGCGCCCTCCTGGCGCGGCAGGAGTGACCTTTGATGCGCGGCTTTCGGCGTGACGCGGGGGGGCGGGGGGAAACTTGATCGCGCAAGCCGCCGACATCGCATCACACTCGACGCTCGCACCGCGGCGTGGTGGGCCGGCATCGGCGGAGCGGCACGCGGACCAGCAGCTCCCGACCGCGTCCGCGCCCCTGCGGGTGACCTGGGCAGACACGGGGTGGCGGGCCGGGGCGCTGCGCCGAGCGGGAGCTCCCGCCACAGCGCGGCGCGGGGCCCCGCGAGCTGCCGCCGCCGCCGCCAGGGGAGAGGCGCGCGCACGCGGTCGCGGCGCCCTGGGGGCACGTGGCGCCCCATCGGAGGCCTCCGACGGCTTGCGGCGGCGCTCGGAAGCCTTCGAGGGCCCTCGCAGGCCCTCGGAGGCCCTCGCAAGGGGGACAGCTGGGACTATGTGGGGACGTTCTCTCTCTCTCTCTCTCTCTTCATCGTTCTGTCTTGCTTTCTTGTCCTTGTTGTGGCAGACCTACAAGATGACCGAGGGCCCAGGGGGGTACCAGCCCCCCCCCCCAACAAAAAAAAGAAAAGCCTGAGACTCCGGAGAGAGAAGGGAGGAGGAGGGAGGACGGGGGGGGAGGGGAGAGGGGAAATGGGCATGGGGAGTGGCCTCCCCTCTTCCTTCAATTTCTCCAGGACGGCCGAGGAGCCCTAGGGCCCTTTCCACGTCGGGGATCTTTGTGTGTGTTGAGAGCACTCCACTCCCTCCCAACTTCACCCAATAGGAAGACACCATGAACCCAATCGTAATACTACAAGGGGAGTCTTCTCTCCTCCTCCCCTCCTCTTCGAAGAAGATCAAAGTGGGAGCACGGTGAAAACACATCCTCCCACCGCGCTCCTCCCTTGTCCGATAGGAGCACAACAGGAAAACGATACGCACGTACTACGGATTCCTCCGCCAACCCTTCCTCCCTCCTGAATACACAAGAAATGCAATAATACTAATAATGATGATAATGATAATAATGATAATGATAAACAATACTACTAATAATGATAATACTAATAATAATAATGATAATGATACGAATGATAATGATGGTAATAATAATGATGATAATGATAATAATAGTAATAATGATATTCATAATAATAATAATAATAATAATAATGATAATAATAATAATAATAGCCATAATAATCATACTAAGAATACTAATAATAACGATGATAATTATAATAATAATAATACGAATAATCATAATAATAATAATAATACAAACGAAATTAATCCCTCTCCCCAATTGTTCCCATCCTCCCTTCCCCTTTCAGTTTGAATACAAAAGGGATGCGAGAAGTAAACGTCCTTCCCCCTCCCGCCCCCACATTAGGAATGCAATGAATACAAGAGAAATTCCGCCCCCCTCCCTTCCTCCTCCTCCCCCAATCAAAACACAGTAGTACTACAACGGGAATGCGATAAGAAGCAATAGGAAATCTCCCCTTCCCTTCCTCCGACCCCTGGGCCCCGTCTAGGCCGAGGGCTTAGGCGTGGCCTAAATTCAATGCAAATGCGACGCACTGTAATGCAACAGGATGCAACGCAGTGGAATGCAACGTACTCCCTCCGACCCTTGGGCCCCGTCTAGGCCGAGGGCCTAGACGAAGCCCAAACGCAATGCCAATGCGAGGTAATGAGATGCATCAGGATGCAATGCAATGCAACGCACCGTGTCGCAATCCTGTTAAAAGCAATGCAATGAAACGCAACGCAATGCAATGCAATGCAATGCAATGTAAGTCAACGCGAAGCCATGCAATACAATGTGTAGGAGGGAGGAGGAGACACAAGGGAGGAGGAGGGAGGATGGGGGGGAGGAGAGAAGGGTAACTGGGCATGGGGAGTGATCCTCCCCTCCCTCCACTCTCCCTCCCTCCCTCCCTCCCTCCCTCCCTCCTCCTCCTCCTCCTCCTCCTCCTTCTCCTCCTCCTCCTCCTCCACCACTACCTCCCCCTTCTCCTCCTCCTCCTCCCCCTCCTCATCCTCCTCCTCCTCATCCGATAAGGAGTACAATGGGTAAACAGCAAGAAAACACTGAGATTGCAATACGCATTCCTTCCTCCTCCCGTCCTCTTCTTCCAATAGGAATGCAATAGCTACAGGAGATGACCGAGGCCACGGCCTACGGGCCGCCAGCCACGACAAACAACAAAAACAAAAAAAAAATAAAACAAAAACAAACACCTGAAAGTCACTGTCGTTTTTTGTTTATGCTTATTGCTTATTCGGCTGGTACCCCCCTGGGCTATCGGCCATCGTGCGCCTGTCACGAGACGAAGCCTTTTGAGGCGGATCAGGAAAAAAGGATTTCTCTTGTGGAGGCGTGCAGAAGGATTCCTTTGTGGCGGATCGGAGGCTGAGAATGCAATGCAATGCAATGCAACGCAATGCAATGCAATACGATGTGGAGGAGGGAGAAGACAAGAAAAGGGAGGAGGGAGGAGGATGGGAGGGAGGAGACAAGGGTAACTGGCAATGCAGAGTGATCCTCCCCTCCCTCCTCCCTCCCTCCCCCTTCTCCTCCAGTAGGAGCACAAACGAAATACAATAAGAATACACGAATAATGCACTACGGATTCCTTCACCCTTCCTTCCGACTCTTCCAATAGGAACACGACAGGACCACCATAGGAATGCAGTTTGAACTTCTCCCCCCCTCCGATCCTCCTCTTCCAACAGGAAAACAACAACTGTACAATATTGCAAAGGGGCCAGGGGGATGCCAGCGCCCCCTGCCTGCCTGCCTGCCTGCCTGCCTGCCCGCCCGCCCGCCCGCCCGCCCGCCCGCCTGCCTGCCTGCCGGCCTGCCTGCCTGCCTGCCTGCCTGCCTGCCTGCCTGCCTGCCTGCCTGCCTGTCTGCCTGCCTGCCCCTCCTGCCTGCCCCTCCTCCTCCTCCTCCTCCTCCTCCTCCTCCTCCTCCCCTCCTCCTCCTCCTCCACCTCCTCCTCTCCGCCTCCTCCTCCTCCTCCTCCTCCTCCTCCTCCTCCTCCCTCCTCCTCCTCCTCCTCCTCCTCCTCCTCCTCCTCCTCTCCTCCTCCTCCTCCTCCTCCTCCTCCTCCTCCTCCTCCTCCTCCTCCTCCTCCTCCTCCTCCTCCCCTCCTCCTCCTCCTCCTCCTCCCCTCCTCCTCCTCCTCCTCCCCTCCTCCTCCTCCTCCCTCCTCCTCCTCCTCCTCCTCCTCCTCCTCCTCCTCCTCCTCCTCCTCCTCCTCCTCCTCCTCCTCCTCCTCCTCCTCCTCCTCCTCCTCCTCCTCCTCTCCTCCTCCTCCTCCTCCTCCTTCCTCCTCTCCTCCTCCTCCCTCCCTCCTCCCTCCTCCCTCCTCCTCCTCCCTCCTCTCCTCCTCCCTCCTCCCTCCTCCTCCCCCCCTCCCCCTCCCCCCTCCCCTCCTCCCCCCTCCCTCCCTCCCTCCCTCCCTCCTTCTCCTCCTCGTCCTCCTCCTCCTCCTCCTCCTCCTCCTCCTCCTCCTCCTCCTCCTCCTCCTCCTCTTCCTTCTCCCCCCCCAAAAAAAACGGGAGGGGACAAAAAAGACGCCTGGAACTCTCAGTCTTTGTACTGATTCTCTTGTGGCTGGCGGCCCCCTGTCCCCACGGCACACGGGGCCGCCAGCCACGAGAAAAAAAATGTGTAAGAAATGAATCCCAGGCGTTGTTTGTGCTGCTTGTACGTTGTACAGTCGTGGAGTTGACCTAAGGAACGATAAATAAGGAACGAGGCCCCTTTTTCCCATACATAAAACTCCGATGTTCCATGGAAAACCCCAGGAAAGCCCAAAAAGCACTGCAAAGCAACTAAGGAGCACGGAGCCCCTCCCCAACAAAAAGGGTTCCTTCTTCAGGGCCCCGACTGTATTGTTTGTTTGCTGATTTGTTCTTACTTTTTGGCTGGTACTTGGGCCCTCGGCCGGATTGTGCGTCTGCCACAACAGGATCCTCCCGAGGCGGGTTACGAAAGGCTTCCTTCTGCGCAGGCTCTCACGGAGATTCCTCTGTGGCGTGTTAGAGAGACAGAGAGAGAGAGAGAGAGCGCGAGAGATGGAGATGGAGAGGAAGAAAAGCAAGAAAAAGATAGAGCCCAAGAATGAGAGAGAAGAGAGGGAGAGAGAGAGAGAGAGAGCGAGAGAAAGGAGAGAAAGAAAGAGAGAGAAGGGAGGAAGAAAAGATAGAGCAAAAGAAGAGATAACCAAAACAACGAGGAAATATAAAGAAAGAGAGAGAGAGAGAAAGAAATGAAAACAAACAAAAAAACAAAAAAAACAACAACAAAACAAAAAAAAAAAAAAAAAAAAAAAAACGCCCCCAACTGGTCCCACCTGCCCCCTTCACCACAGGCCCTCCGGGGCGGAGACCTCCCGGCGGCCCCTCGGAGGCCCCCGGGCGGCTCTCGCAGGCCTCCGCAGGCCCCCGCAGAGGCCCTCGCGGGCCCCCGCAGGGGCCCTCGGAGAGGCCCTCGGCGAGGCCCGCAGAGAGCCGCAGATGAAGGGGCCCTGGGACACAAAGAAATACACACAAATAAAAAGATTCCCCACATTTTCCTATACTTCCTGGGTCTTTGTCTTCCCCCCCCCACTTCCCATACTTTCCCACATTTTCCTGGGAGTCGACGATGAATTGTGTCTGTGTGTTTTTCCCCCCCCTGAGGCAGAGAGCGCCGCGCGGCCTTCGCCAGGGCGGCCCTGGCGGCCGCCGCCTTCTCGGCCGCCTTCGCGGCCGGGTCTACGTGCAGGGCGTCCCCGTAGATGCGCTGGCAGATCCGGCGGCGCCCACCCGTCGCGGGGGCCCAGGCCTCCGTGCCCGTGCTGGAAGATTTCACCCTGGCTCACGACCGCAGTGAACAAAAATGATACAGTCGGGGCGTTGACCAAGGAACCCTAAATAAGGAACGAGGCCCCTTTTCTCCATAAGTTAACCTTCGATTTCCTGTCGAAAACCTGAGGAAAACCTGAGGCAAGCTGCGAAGCACTTAAGGAACGCGGAGCCCCTCCCCAACGAAGAGGGTTCCTTCTTCAGGGCCCCGACTGTAGCGTAGATCAGCATCACCTCCTGATATGCGTAACATGCCAGTCATTCTCTCCCGGGTCTCCGATCGGTGGCGGGTCGTGCCCCTCGACGCGCCACGACGACTCTTCCCCCCGAGGCTCCACGCTTCCTGGCACGGCCCTCCGGCTTCCTGGCACGGCCCTCCGAGGGGCCTCGGAGGCAAAGAGGGCTCGAGCCAGTTGCCCCAAAGGACCCGGAGGCGTCATGCGCCGAGGTCTCCGCCGTCGTGAGATCGAGCTCCTCGGCATGCCCCCCCCCCTCCCACCCTGCAAAGGTCTCGACCCCCCGTCCCCGGGACTGGGCATATCTCGGCCGCGGGCTGGTTCTCTGCCTTCCAGGCCCCTGGCGGGGCCAGAAGGTGGCCCGAAGGAGACCAAGATCACGAGAAGGCTCTCTCCGTCCTTGCTCTTCTCCGTCCTTGCTCTTCTGCCACGGGCGTCCTTCGTTCGTGAAGCGTCGCTTTGATCCCCAAGCAGGCGTTGCTTGAGGCGGTTCTGCGATCGGGAACTGGTGCGTGGAGTGTCGTGGCGGCGGCCCTGGCGACACCCCATGCCCTGCAAGCGGATAGCGTGTCGTTCCGCTCCGCAGGGCGGGGGGCTGGGAAAGGCTGGGAACGTTGACGCCTGGGGGCCAGGAAATGGTGTCAGCGTGTCGCGCCGAGGCGTGGTGGGCCGGAAAAGGCGGCGCGACACGCTAACCAAAAGTCAGCGAACGTACTCTTTTATACAAAACCCTGTGGTGATTTGCGGCTGTACCGACAGATCATCGGGGGCTGGTTGCCGCGCGTCCTCGGGGGTCGATTCGGGTTGCTCCGTTTATCTCAACTTGTTCAAACTGGCTTACTGTACAATGATTTGTTCCCAACCATCATGTGGTGTTCGGTCCTCCTCATTTTGAAGAGACGGCGCCCCGCGTCTCCCACTTCCTCCTCCTCCCCCTCCTCCCTCCCTCCCTCCTCCCATCTGTGCCTCTGCCTCCGCATGTCCATTACGGCGCACCCCTCACACGTTTCGTGGCCTCAATGGGGAGCTCGAGGGCCTGTGGCAGTGGCCACATGCGTCCCCCCATCAATTTCGACACACACACACACACACACACGCACACACACACACACACACACACACACACACACACACACACACACACACACACACACACACACACACACACACACGCTTCGTGGCCCCATAGGGTGCTCCGCCGAAGGCCCCAGCGACAATGGCCACATGCGTCCCCCCACCCATTTCGGCACATCCGTCACACGCTTCGCGGCCCCATAGGGAGCTACATCGAAGGCACCAGCGGCAGTGTTCACATACGTCCCCCCGCCCATTTCGGGAAACACCTCACGCCCTTCGTGGCCCCACGGGGAGCCCAACCGAAGGCTCCAGTGGTAACGGCCATGCGTCCCCTCTGCACAACCCGCACACGTTCCGTGGCCCCATAGGGAGCCCCACTGGAGGCCCCAGTGGCAGTGGCCACATGCGTCCCCCCACCCATTTGCGGCACGACCCTCACATTTCGTGGCCCCATAGAATGGTCCACCCAAGACCCTAGTGGCAGTGGCCGCAGACGCCCCCCACACCAATTTCGGCAAACCGCTCACACGTTTCGTGGCCCCATAGGGGGCTCCATCGCAGGCCACAGTGGCAGTGCTCACGTGCGTCCCCCCCCGCCCATTTCGGCATATCCCTCGCACGTTCCGTGGCTCTGTAGGGAACTCTACCGCAAGCCCCAGTGGCAGTGCTGACATGCTTCCCCCCCCGCCCATGTCGGCACAACCCTCTCACGTTCCGTGGCCCCCATAGGGAGCTCCGCCGAAGGCCCCACCGGCAGTTCTCCCATACGTTCTCCCCGCCCATTTAGGCATACATCTCACACGCTTCGTGGCCCCACCCCATAGGGAGCTCCGCCAAAGGCCCCAATGGCAACGGCCACATGCGTCCACCCACCCTTTTCTGCACATCCGTCACACGCTTCGCGGCCCCATACGGAGCTACACCGAAGGCCTCAGCGGCAGTACTCACATCCGCCCCCCCCGCTCATCTTGGCACACCCCTAACATGTTTCGTGGCCCCATAGGGAGTTCCACCGAAGGCTCCAGTGGCAGTGCTCCCATTTGTAACCCCACCCGTTTCGGCACACCCCTCACACGTTTCGTGGCCCCATAGGGATCTCCACCGAAGGCGATGCTCACAATTGCGTTAGTCACAGCTGCATATTGCTGGGTCCTTCGCCAAGATAATGTTGCTTCGCTTTTCTCCGTTTTGGTGTCCAATGTGTCGCGTTGGGTTGACTTGCGTGGCCGTGGTTAGCTTGACACTGTTTCGTTGCACTGCGATGCATACAACACTGCGTTCCAAAGAAAAGGCTGCATTGCACTAATTTGACCTTGCGTGGCATTGCTTTCATGTGCACTGCATTATGCTTGCCCTACACTGTGCCGCGGCATCAAAAAAGGCACTGTACTTCACCGCACTGCTTTGCCTTGGGCTGCATTGCGGTGACCTGTTTCCGACTGGCACGCCCTGCGTTACACCGCCTCGACCTGCGCTGCACTGCACTGCGCTGCGTTGCAGCGCATGGCCTGGCGCTGCATGGCCTGCTCTGCATCGCCTCTCGTCCGCGCGGCAGGCCCGGAGGGCTGGCGGCCGAGGGCCAGGACGCCAGGAGGCCACGGCGCGGCCGAGGATGCGCTGCCTACTGGCCCTCCCGCGCGCCGCGGGACCTCGCCGCTGCGCCAGACGCGCCCTCCCGCCTCTCGGGCAGGCACCGTACTGGGGGATCGGGTCGGAGCGGAGCCTGCGTCGGTCTGGGCGGCGCGTCGGATCGGACCGGATCGGCACGGGGCCAGGATCGGATGGGAGCGGCCGCGCCAGGATGCACAACAGCGCCATGCAGGCATCGGGCCGCATCGGATCGTTAGAAAATCGAAGCCACATCGGATCGATCCCGGGGAGGCCGATAATCATCCAAACAGATCGACCAGTTCGAAATGGGCCCCGCTCGGGCGAAGGGGGGGAGGAAGGAACGTGGCCGAGGGGCAGAGGAGGGCTCTCGTGGTGGCGTGGTGGTCGCTGCGTTTCGGCGTCCCGCCCGAGACATTTCCAACCCCCACCCTCGGGAAGGCACCGCGGACCTCCGCGTCGCTGGGTGGCCCTGCCTGTGGTTTCTTGGTGCCGCTCTTCTCTCCCTCGGCGGTGGACGACGACGGCGGCGACGGGCTGCGGCTGCGGTGGCGTCTTCCTTTTGGCACCCTCTGGGGGGCTTCCTGCGGGGTTCGCGGGGCGGCCCGAGACGTCCAACGCCACGACTTGATTCAGAGAAGAAGCAGGAACAACCGCCATCGAGAGAGCCCGTTGGGAGTAACGCTCGAGCGTGCCACCGCCCAGGGGTCAGTCCCCGATGGATTCTCGGTGGCGGTGGTCTCTGTTTTCCTCGGCCTGCTCCTGGCCCCAAACCTCTCGCCCCCGAGGCATTCGTTCATCCCGGGTTGTTCTTTGACAGCAGTGGCCAGCCCGCCAAGGGCCTCGAGATGCCGACAACGTGCGAAAAGTGAGCCGTCTTGCATGTCTGCTCGTGACGCCTGATGTCTGCGCCTTGATGGGGCCCCCCCGGCAGCTCCCCCTGTCCTGGGCTGTCTTCTGGGGACGTTCGGACGCGGCGCCAGCCTCTCGGATCTTGCACGACTTCTTCGGCTTCGGGTGCAGGTGGCACCTGCTGCCCCCTCCCCCTCCTCCTCCTCCTCCTCCTCCTCCTCCTCCTCCTCCTCCTCCTCCTCCTCCTCCTCCCCCTCCTCCTCCTCCTAGTAGTACTACTACTACTACTACTACTACTACTACTACTACTACTACTACTACTACTACTACTACTACGACGACTACTAATACGACTACTACTATGACTACTACTACGACTACTATAGCGACGACTACTACTACTACTACTACTACTACTACTACTACTACTACTACTACTACTACTACTACCACCACTACTAATATTACGACTACGACTACGACTACGACTACGACTACGACTACGACTACGACTACTAGTACTACTGCTACTACTACTACTACTAACGACTACTACTACTACTACTACTACTACTACTACTACTACTACTACTACTACTACTACTACTACTACTACTACTACTACTACTACTACTACTACTACTACTACTACTACTACTACTACGACTACGACTACTACTACGACTACGACTACGACTACGACTACGACTACCAATACTCCCAACTACTACGAACTACGAACTACGGACTACTAGCTACTCGCTACCGCTACCACTACTATTCCTACTACTATTACTGAAACTACGAGTACGGTTACGACTACTGCTACGACTACTGCTACGACTACTACTACTACGATGACTACGACTACTTCTACAACTATTACTACTACTACTACCACTACTACTACTACTACTACTACTAC